TCCACACTTCCTTGCTGCTAAGGTGGAGGTCCGAGCAGGCGGTGCATGAATGAGGGCGGTGGTGGTTGTGGGGACGACACAGGCCGATGGTGGTGGTTGGCCCAAAAAGTTATTCATTCTTGATGTATTGATGAATAAAACGTGGTGATTTTTTTCTAAAAGAAACCACTCACAGTATTGATCATATGAGTGGGAGAAAAAAAATGCATCAAAATGTGAATAATCAACATTAATATAAAAACTGGATCGCATTACACTCAGACATGCAGTATTATCTAACTCTCATGAGCTTTGAGCATCTTTTATGTCATTCCGCTCTTATAGAGACACTTTTGCTTGCAGCAGGCAGTTCCAAGAGAAGATAATAATTCAGTGTTGTTTTGAAGGATGGTTTTCACTGACCCCACATAGGCTATTGAAAATTTAAGAGGCGTTATTAATTTTATAGTCAAAGAGAGGGCATGATATGAGAAAAATATGCAGTTTGTTAACATTGCTCTCTACTGGCATAAGGGTATGAAGTGTGAAAAAGTAAACAAAAACTAAAGAGTGCTACAGTGTAACTCACATCTTTTAGATTATTTCACAAATGCACTCCTGAAAATCTTCCAGAGTATTTTCGGAAGACTGCCCCTGAAATCCTCCTGGTCTGGTTGGTCCCACTTGCACCTCACAGCGGGAGACTCTCCCTGTTCACGTCATTTGTTGATTCAATCATCCTTACCAAGATTGAATCAACAAATTACGTGAAAAGGGTGATTGAAGTTGCTTTTTAAAATGCAATGACATATGAAGCAAATCGGACATTCGGGCGAATTTCTCAGTTCCAAAATGTGAAAGTAACTGACCACTGCGGATAAGAAATTTAATGTAATTTCTTTGCTGCATCGAATGTGAAAAAGTTATTCACAACAGATATACAACAGATCTGGGATGAGACGAAACACGCTCTGTTCTCCCTTATTGAAGTACGCTCTTTTTCAATAAAGCACATCGCCCTGCACAAATTAAACAACACTGCAGATAAATGTGTTACACTATGCTGTAGAGACATAATCTGAGACAGTAGTGTTTAAATGTTCTTGCTCTTTGTTAATTATAGGCATCTGTGCACTGAGCATATATGTTTGAATATGAGTGTCTGTTATTCCGCTGCAGCCAAACAGTGAAGTGTTTTGTAAAAGCTGATGACCTGAATCATGAAAGGATTACGTGGCAATTGCCAGTCCAATGACTGATCGATAAACTGTAAAGGTAATCATCAAGGTAACCCAAAAGGAAACCTCTCGCGGCACCCTGTTGAATGATGAATGAGGATGAATGAAGCATGGTGTGCAGGAGAGAGATGTTTAATGTTTCTGATTAACGGCTGCACTGAAGAGGCATACAGACTAGAGCTGTAAATTAGCCGCAAAGGCTAAAGCTTCTCCTTTTACTGTACAGTTAATTAAAGGGGACTGTCGACAAAATAATGAACAAATAAACTAAACTAAACGTGTTCGACGAGCGGCACTTTTGTAAGTCTTGAAATTTCATGTGCCTCACTTTACACTTTTGACATTTGTAGTAGTTTCTATGCATATCGACACAATATGTCCCTAAACTCTGCTGAAGAGCCGGACGCCTCCTGGGACACACAGGGCTGTGTAAACTTCCTGTGCAGAGGTACACTTCCTTCCTACAGTCAGTGGACCGTGAGGAGGATCCTGAGAGATGAAGGATGGAGGCTATCAGATCTTAAGTCTAGACCCAGTCAGGATGGGTGACTGCCTTTTCATGATGAGCCCATTCTGCCCTGATTCTTCTCCCTACGTAATGAAAGACTGAGGTGGTGAAGCTGTGTCGAGTCAGGAGGCGTATAATCAAATCACACAGGATTATGTGTCACATTTGACCTGTATGGACCCTTTTTCTGTACTTAAAAGTGTGATTCAATCCGCAGAGGAGATTTCTATGCGTCTATGTGTGTGAGAGAGAGGGAGGGAGAAAAATAGAGCAACAAAATAATATATTTTGATTCCGGCTCTTTTTTTCTTCAGTTCTCTTTTACATATTCTTTTTGCATCTTTCCTTTTAGTCTCCCTTCATGTGGGAAGGGAGGGTCAATGAATGCGGTGAGGCACGTGGGAAACGTGTGGGTTTCCACCACAGCTTTTACTGTGACTGACAGAAGCTCGACAAGGCTTTAGAGGCTCGCTTTAGAGTTTTAGAAGGGAAAAAAAAAGGACCAGGGAACAGCTTTTTTCCAGATGGCCACTGCAAAATAGAGCAAAATATACTCTGCAAGTTTGTGATGACAGTGCCTGCATGAAGTATTACAAGTAATAAGGAGAACTACTGTTGTCTGATGGGAAAAGATCCATTTATTAAAAATAATAAAATAATAACTGGAGCTGGGATTGTAGTGTTATGAGCTTCACTGTTGGTCAAAGAGATCAATCTGTGTTTGCAATAGTGACAAAAAATTCCTGTCAAATCTTTCAGACCTGAAGCATGAAAAGGAGAAAGTAAATGTTTATTTTGTGATTCCTCCTGGTTTGCTCATATCAACCTCTGCTCTTATCTGAGAGTATCTAGTTTGCACTCCGACTAAATTGGTGTTTATTCTATTCTGCGCATGTCAAAGCCCCAGTCTGCTGCTGAATGCTATCAGGGGAATGAGGGTCCCAGGATGCTCAACTCTGCTGCTGACACAACACTTTTCCTGAAAGAGCTGCCACTTGATTTAGCCAAAGCAAAATGTCACAGTAATTGTGAAGATTTATATCAATGGGAAAGAGCTGACGAGGTCCCACACCAGAGCTATCAGATCTGACAGACTTAATATGTGCTCAAATGTTGCGGTGCCGCACTAAAGGCTTGCAGGTTGACCAATTTTTAGCCGGAATGTTCCACCTCAGATGGTATTGACCGAGCCATCGTTTTTTCACCGCTGCAAATCAAGTGTGAAGTGGAACTTTGAAGTGGTGAAATTGCATTTCAAATAAACTGGAATCGCTTCAAAACATGTTATCGCACTGGTTTTTATTGACTTTTTTTGTGTGTGGCATCACAGGTGATATGAAAAACCGACTGACAGGTGGTTTGTATAAATCCTGAAAATTGCTGCCTATGTTGACTAATTTTCACTTCAAATGAATCATTTGTTTTGTTGTTCTTCTTTGTGACGCGTCTTTGAGTATTCTGAACAGCGCTTTATAAGTCCAGTATATTAGTATTATTAGTATTATTTCATAGTAGAAATTTGATTTACAGTACTGTTTTGACCGCTGACTAAACGACAAAAGAACAGATTTCTAACTCTCCTATAGTTAGAAATCGGCCATATCAACTAAACCCAAATAACAGAACTAACTTTAACAGAAACTAAAGTGTTCAGAAGTGATTTAACTTTTCCAACACAGTTCTACACGTGAAAAATTGGAGGCAGGTGTGCTCACACTAAGTCACTGTGACATTTTCAATAACTATTTATGTCGCATGCACTGATGAGAGAAATTAATGGGTGCAGTTTGTTGGAATTTTTAGATTTTTTAAATGCTGTAGAAAGTTCTGAGGGTGCCAATATTTGAGATGCCTCACAACACAAGATATTGACTATTCCTTTGTGACCATAGACTTGTATATAACATGGACGTAGTCTCAGTGATTTCACCCATTAGCTTCTGAAGTGTAGTTTTGAAGCCCCTTGCATTTCTACAAATCAAGTTATACAACACAACACAGACATTTTTAGATTATATTGAGAATGTAAAATCTAAAAATAATTCATGATTTGAATAAATATTCACCCCACTAGTGCTAGGATATTACACATTCAGTCTTCACATTCTTACACATTTTAAACCAGTCTCCAGTGGCCATTCAAGGAACTACACAGATTCTGCTTCTTATTTTTCATCTCCACAATTTGCAGTTTGATTTCTACTCTACTGTTTGCAGAAGGTTTTCATTGAAGATCCAACTGCATGATTTAAGGCTCCACATATGACCTAAAGGAGACCTCAAAGTCTCTCTTTTCTGTAATGTGTTTTTCTTTATTGCTGCTTCACTTGAGTGTTTGACCGTCTCTGTGCAGAAAGATGTTCATGAACAGTTTGGCACTAAAATGCTGTTTTTAACATTTATCTTCTGAGGGGGTAAAGTTTCTCTTTATTAAATATCAGTCTGATATGTAAATGTACGAGCATGATCAGAATGAGTTTTTGAAATCAATGATGGTCAAAAGTTTAACTCACCAGAGTGTGATGTGGAAACTTTTCACTAAAGAAGGAGAATGTTTGCTAAACTTTTTAAAAAATGAGTACGTCAATCAAATTCGTATTTTTTGAAAAAAAAAGGAGCCAATCAAATGTTGTCTCCTTTTAAGTGTCATGATTGAACTTTTTTATTATTACTTCAAGGAGAAGATTTCTTTAACTTCAAATGTGAGGGGATCTTTAAACTTCTGTCCTTAGATTAAAGACTTTACTTGATTTATCTTTTGCTTCACAACTGCAAATTATTTTTATTGTTTAAGGTGGATTCTTTTGTTATGCTGATATTCAGTCATTTCAGCTTTTTTTGTACCTGTACAGTATGTAGAAGAGTGTGCAGACTGACTGTGGAACAAAATCAGACAGCACACTCTATTCAATACTTCAAAAAAATATTGCTGAAAAGATCAGCATTGGCGCTTTCTAGGTACAATGACATTTTTCACCTGCAAACTTTGTCCTCCTCCAAGCAAGGTAGTATTCATTCAACTATTGTATGTAATATATTCAACAGAGTGTTTGTCTTTCACTCTGAATCCATCTGCGGTTTTCCACCTTTGAAATGGAAGCATGGCAGGCGGGCAGGAAGGACATCTGCATTGCATTTAATGAGTATCACAAATGTTTCAGTAATTCCACTCCATCTGAAACTTCCCTCCCCTTCAGCACACTCCCAAATTACAGCAGAGGAAAGAAGCAAGGGCTCTTGCAGAGCATTAGTGTTTTCCCCTGCAAAGACGATCGGAAAGATTCCTCCTGTGGGCTTGCATCATGGAGGCTGCAAGTCAATCCAGCAGTCAACAGATTCTTTGGAAAGATGTGAGTCCATTTTTTCCCTTTTTTTTTTTATTAATGTAGTCACTCTTGTTGGAAAAAAGTAAAATAAATTCTGAAAAATTAGCTGTGATTGAACTGTTTTTAAGTTTTCATACATTTCTTTTTACAATATCTAAGAATAAAGTGACATTTAACTTTTACATCTTAGTGAATGAAGGGCAGGTGGCAGCAGCAGGGATCCTGTGATATTTGAGTGTAAGCTTAGAATAAAATACTTCAGAAGTCTGGAATAAAAAAAGAGCGCTGCTTGATCTCTCACGGAGTGATCTGAGTTTTTCTCAGAATTTTATTTTTTCCAACTAATTCCTTCAGGCATTTCACCCTGGCTTAATTTCTTTATTTTCACTCTTATATTCAGTCTCACATGAACCATTGTGTTTGCTTTATATCTACAATATCCTCACTTCTCACATGCAAGAAGCTTTCAAATACACACCATGAGGTGTATTTATTTTAGTCTTCTTTTTTTTTATTAAGGAAGGGGGGGATTTTTGGCTCTGGAATCCTTCTGCCTCTCCTCATAGTTCAATTGTAGCAGAACTTACAATAGACACAATAAAGCAATAGGGTAAGTAGTCGTACAGTAAGGTGTGATTATTTTTTATGTTTATGTGAAAAGTAAGCTCTTTAACTGTCCATTAAAGAAAGGGCAACTCTTCTAGCAGGGACTATTCTTAATAAAACCAGTGATGATGGATAATGATAATGATTAAGAAATCACATGGAGCTCCTTACAGTATACCAGAATATTTTTCTCAGAAATCCAGTGCTTTCTCTGAGCATGCCCCTGTTTGATAACTAATGCTTCAGCTTGTTGGTTTTTTAGGCTACTTGTGTTTTTTTTCCCTCCTGTTGTTTCTCAAGAAGTGCTCCTTCTTTGCATTGTAACAGCAGGGAGCTGCAGGCGCTCTTCCTCACAAAGCTCAAGAGGAATCGCCTTGCTGATTCTGAACTCCTAAACCTTTAAACACTAGTTGGCGGCTGCTGTGCACTCAGACTGCTCACCCTGTCTCCATCCCTGCCTTTATTTCTGTCCGTCTGTCTCTCAATCCCACCTCCTTCCTCGGAGTATTTCGATATTCAAAGCACAGGCAGAGAAAGGTTTGTCCTCTAGTAAAGTTTCCACTGCTTATGCAACCTGCCACAGGAGAGCACAGGATTTCAGCCACAGTTCTTTTTCCTTCACTAGCAGAAATTCACAATCTCAGGAATTTCTGGCTCCTTTTTTTTTCACCATGCCTTAGGAATGTACAAAAATGTCATGTGCCTCACGTTTTTGTGGCTCCTGTCAAATAAATATCAAATAAAGGATGGTCAGTGTGTTGAATTCATTACTGCCAAAGGTTTGTTTTAAGTTTTTGTTGGGTGGTATCTTGCATAGTGTGTCCTTTGTGCTTCCTCAAAGTAGTGCTGCTAATGTATTTATCAGAAACTCGATCCATAATCAGTAAGGACACCATGCTGTTATAGCTAAACCATATGTTCCTCCTTACATCATGCCTCCTACATACAGTATTTTAAAATGTAGAAATTCTGCGTGAAATATGATTCAGGAAGACTTGAGATTATTATTTTAACAGGAGAACAGTCAAAAGGTCAGGGGAAAAAGGCATACAACTTTTTATTTTAATATAATTCCTACAAACTATTTAAAGTAGTCAGCATGTTAAAGTGCTTCCAATCTATTGCGGCTTAACTACTGTAACAACCTCAGCCACAATAGAAAACCAAAGCTGCTTTATCATCATTTTAAAAAGACACAAAGATAAGCAACACCAATTTTCCTAATTGAAGTTGGTTCCATTTTTTTTTTTTTTACATATCTGCTTTTCTGTTGTCCTCTGAGACCTTCACAAGTGGTCCTGTGTGAATGAGAAGCTTTCATTTTCTCCCTGCTGCAGCTGTGCTAGAACAAAAGCCTGTCTTTATTAATTTGTGGCCCAAAGCTCGGGGAATTGACTACAGCAGGCAGAGTGAGGAAAAGTTTAATAAATGTAACCTTTCGGTGGCAATCTGCTCATCCCTGAGCTTGGCATGGAGATGGTTTTTATTTTTGTCATCAGTAGATTATGCACACTTGCAAGATCAAATAGCATCTCTATGGATTAAATGCAACCAAAAGATAAACACAAATAAAAATATGAACATGAAAGCTGTACTTTTTTTTCTTTTTTTTTTTTTTAAGAAATTGGGGGAGATGCAAAGCCATAGCCCTTTCTGATGGAAGCTAGGTGAGAGGATTGACACCACCCTCCGATTACCATTTGATCATATAAAAACACATGTCTTAGATACAGTTCCAAAGTGGATGGAGCCATCTCTGGTGTACCTTGTTCCATGTGATAAAAGCCACAATCTGTCTCAACCTAGTCAATGATATGTTTCTCCCCAGATGTAGCACTACCACTTGCTTGGACGGACACCAATTTTTCCAAATTTAATTGATTGTACAAAAGATGACCAACTGCATTCCAAATGTTTTATTCTTTGATTAATAAATACAGACTTTGCCAGAAAAGTCAAGTCCTACATTCATGATACATTTGGGCTTCAAGAATTCAGTTATGTAGCTTAATATTCTGGTAAACATTGCAAGTAAAGGCTAAAGATTACACTTTCAAGGAAAATGAAAGTACAATGTATAGCTTTAACCATTTACCATTCCATTTTTGTGTCATTTTTTAATTAATCCTGCAACTAAGGGGCCAACTTTATCCATCTAAACAGCAAGCCAGTTGTAATCCGCTATTGTTCTGATTCATGTTACTGACTTCTTCTATAGTTTCTTTCAATAACACAAGTAAAGGCTCATGGGCATTGTAGTCTTTTATGTCTTTGGATTGCTCAAATAATGCTTGATTTAAAAAATATTTCAAAAAGTAGTAAAGATTATTTCATCAGCCTTTATGATTGGTATGAATCATAGCTTCACACAAAGGATGGGAACAGTGAAAAAGCAGCTAGTCTGTTTATTTTTGGCCATTTGTTAAAAGTGAAAGAAAAAACATCACTATGGGTTTTTGTGGGGCGCTATCGAGGTTAAAAACCACTAAATAATGAACTAAGGAAGATAAACTTGATTTGGATGGGGAAAAGGGTATTTCTCAAGAAGTCCAATGTTTCTTCATCAACTGCAATAATTTAAGCTGATGTCATATGTAACACTGAATCAAAACTGTCTTTCAGGTCGAGGCAGGAAAAGAGAAGAAGGCTAAGTTCTACACCTACCAGCGTCTGGCTCTGGTTCTGGCACTAGTCCTTGTTGTTATGGGTCTTTGTGTTTTCAGCCTGAGATTCCTGTGGAGCCCCAGTCAGGGGAAGGTAAGACTAAATATCAGGGCTCGAATGATACGCTTTTGTTCCAATTTTATTTAAACACGATTCTGGGGAGCCTTTTCAATTCATTTTGTTGCTTTTCTGAAGTATTATGATCCAAGTATTTCAATTCGATACTATCGATTACTATGATTTTCGTTTCCTTTTTCAACAACAATTTAAATAATACCATACACTAGTTTAAAGAGTAGAATATCATCTGTTATACGTCTAAAACATTGTGCAGTCTTTGCTTTGTTCTTACCATCTAGCAAACACTCAGCCATCTGTTCCCATGAATTTGCTTTCTCTGTGATGATCCTTTGTCAAGCATCTATTTTCTTTGATACCTTGGTGACCAGTCCCGCCCCATCAAGTATATGATAGGATGCCCGTACTTTAGCAGCATGCTGAACAGTATACAGGCTGAGACATTCGAGTAGTAAAGCCAGAGTGGCTTCTTCAAAGCACCTACATGCTGCTGATTTTGCTCTCTCTTTATTCACTCTGCAAAAAGATAAATGGACTTACATAGTGTGCAAGATAGCCGAGGATAACGTTAGCAGGCTAAAATCAATCAATGATCACCTCAGCAGCTCTCTGATGCAAGCATATTCTCTAACCTGATGCATATACCCTCGATTTGCTTGATCCCAAGCATACCTTCATTCAGGTAAGATGGATCAACAAAGGGTTAATTTCCCCATTAATAAATATTTCTTATTCTTTTAGCCAGCTCAGTTAGAGAGACTGATGGGGGATGACACAGGGTTATTGCTTTGTTAATAACCTGAAAGACTCTGGGCTTTTTTTTCTCTTTAGGCTGCTCTTGGCTCACGTCGGCTGTAAACAGATATGATGTCACAAGTAATGATCCCAGGAATAAAAACTATTTTCAATATAAGAACTCTTGATGTATGAGTTAATCTAAATTTTCCCCACTCCAACTAAATATCACTTGGACACTGTCTGTGTTGAGCGTCGTCTTGATGAGTGTCAGATAAAAGACTATCTGAGTCTCCGGATCAGCAAATCATACAAGTTGCATCAAAGAAAAAAAAAAGAGTAAGGGAAATGGACAGGCCCACAAAGAGCCAGAGGCAGTGTATTGTACTAGACGGGAAGATGTGTGGGTTATGGAAAAGACAACAGTGTTTTGTTCTGCTCTTGTTTTGGCTGTCAGATCTGTAATTTCATGAATTCTTGTGCCAAACCTCAAACCGCTTTCTACCATTGCAAATGTTGGCCTGAATTTATCTACTTTCTGCTCACATTGTAAACATCTCCTCACAATGACGGATCCTGATAACTCAACGCTGACCCTAATTACTGTTGACCAGAGTGGCTGCAGGAGGAGGACTGAAACCTCTTGGCAGTGTTATTGGGATAAACTCTTGTCCTGGCAATTCATCTTGTAAAAATCCAATTCAATCACACTTGATGGAGAACATTTTCACTCTGCTCCTTTTGCCTGATTTTTCCCAAGAGGCTAAGAAAGCTAATTTATTCAGGCTGGGAGGATTATACATCAAAAAGTTTACATCCAGAGATTGGAAGTTCCTGGACAGGAATGCGAAAAATGATTGCAATGTAATGATCGTTTAAACAAATACTGACTATTTGAATGCATAAATCTGATTTCGGAAAGTGCAATGAAATGAAAGGGAAGGAAATGTGCCCTGCCAATAGTCTTTTCCCGTTTCTCCAACATCTTTGTTAGTTCTAATAAACATTAATTCAATAAACTCTCTGCTACAATTCCTCTATTTCTGCCTCCATTAGGGTACAAATTTCAATTTCAGACTGTCTTTTTCTAAGCTCAGGTTAACCAGGGTTCATCCTCACTTCCTGCGCAGAATGTATTGTCCACGTTCTCTCCTTTCAACATCGATATGAATCACCTTTGAGCCATCTCCTTTGTCCTTGTTAAATATTTCATGCCGGAGGTAGAGCAGTCATTATTTCCACTTTAATAAGCTGTGATCATTCTCACGTGGCACAAAATGTGTTGATGGCAGAGGTTGCCCGGGCGATGAATATCAAACATGCGGACCCTGGGTTTCTGCTTTAATGGGGTCTTGAGGGGGAGGCTTATTCTCTGGCCTCCACATCAGTGAGAAAGACAGAGCCGCTTCAAAGGAGTATCACCTGTCTGTCAGATGTGAAGGAAGCTTCTTAGAAACAGTAGGACAGTAAAAACTCAGGTATGTGTCCTAAAGAAAACTAGTAACTGCTTTCGAGGAAGAGAAAAGAACTGGATGATTGGTTGGATGGATGGAGTTGTTCCCTAGCATAAACATAGCAGTCTTGTTTGCTGTATTGGTTTGAAGGTTTTTAATGCAGTAGGACTTTTCTTGACTCACCAGCTAATCCTGAGCACTGACTGGCATGTATAGACTCTGGGCAGCAGAGCACTGCAGCTGAAGCCAATGGGAGTGTACATCATTTATTTTAGGAAGCAGTTGTGTGGGGGTTGTTTTTTATTTGATGACAGCTCATATTCAAATTAAGCTAAAGGAGTCTACTGCTGCTGTCCCAGTCCTCAAGAATGTGGAGTATTTCTGTTTTGGTACAACAGAGAGACATGCAGTTTTTAAATATTTCCCCAGCTTCAGGCTGACTGGAAATACGTTACATTTAAGAGCAAACAGAGGATCCACATATGCACAGTAACCTCAATTTTTTTCAACTTTTACAAATGTTTTTTTTTTTTTACACTTTTACAGATTCAATTTGTTTTGCTTTGTTTTTATTTCGTCTTACTTTATTGTTGTTGTCTGATCAGTTTCACTACTCATAGAGGCATGGTATAAATTTGCTGTTTTCAGAAAAAGCGTATGTAAGCCAACTGAGCCCTTTCCAGCTGATGGACCAAGTAAGTTGGTATCATATTGAAACATTTTGCAGCAAAGAAGCCACGCCTACAGGAGATAGTGGAGCCCCAAAATGAGCTAAAAAGGTGGTGACCAAAAGGACGCACCAAAATAATTAGACTTGTGTGCCTGATGTGTATATGTGTACATTTGCAGTGAATCAGTTACTTAAGCACTCAAGAATACTTCAAATACAATGAAAATGACTTATTAGTGATCTTTGAAATTTATTTTCAGTGACTATTATCCTACAAAACTGATTTATTGATGAATAAGTTTACCCCTAGCTTGTATACTTAATACTTAAAAAAAGAAGCAAGCAACTTTTGAAAAAAACAATCCTGCAGTTGAAGTGTAAGTGCAAAAATGATTAAACTGGAAGTCTAAGAGATAGTTTGAAAGTTTGTAAGACAGGTTTCTCAAAACAAGCTTGTGTGAGAGTTCCTGATGTGGTCTCTTCTCAGTATGAAATCCGCTCTTTCTGTTTCCTCCAGCTGTTTTTTTATTTATTTTTGTTCTGCACACCTGAGAATGTGAGAGGTGCAAACCGGCTGATGGAATCACTTCCTTTTCACAGTTAGTTTAAAAAAGAAAAAGGTGCTGGAGCATACCAGGTAGAAATCAGCCGTCAGCTGAACGTCATTCCTTTACCTCCAGGTTCTGAAACAAAGAATAATCTGCTCTCAGCTGGCCGTTCTAAAGTAAACAATCAAAAGTGACGGATCTGAGAATCCACAGCTTCTACAAGTACCGATAACGAAATCTTATCTAATCCTTAAAATCCCTTTTGCATGCTCACAAATTGACTTTTTTGTGTGATCCGTCTATAGTTGAACTTATGTACTTGCATTAAAAACAATTACCAACAGCTATCACTTGTACTTATGACGTACAATATATGACATACTTTGTAGCACTTTGACCTCAGCATGCTAATTAGAAGTCTAAACCACAGCAGGATTTCAGCCACGAACACTTCTGGTCTATCCTTTCAGTTCGTCAGAGCAGTGTGACCTCATGCACCCAGCTTTGTATAAATAACCGCACAATGGTAATTTGCTCGGCACATTGTATTTTAATATGACACGATAACCGCTCGGGATCTTCTTTTAATTACCTGAAAACATATGTTGCTACAGAGGCCTGGGGAAGATACTTTGCTTTTATTTTCTCTGCCTTTGTGTCTGTGAGGGTGTGGTAGTGCTCGTAAGGGTGCGATTGTGTGTGCATTGTGCTTTTCAGTGTGTAGATTAGTTGCCTCTGAGTTCTCTTTTGGCTTTGGGCAAATTTCTGTTTACTATGTGCTCATTATTGTTCTGGGCCACAAGTCTCACCAGGGGATTCTGCCTCCTTGTAAATTAATCCTCTGTTATTACCAGTTTACATCAGCAACTCTGTGAAAATGGAATCTCGCTGCTGAATCCAGCAGACGAGAGAGAGGGGGATTTACTTCAAAAATATTTTGAAAAATGTCTCAGAAAAAAGGAAAATCTCAAAGTTGATGTCTGCCATGTGGAATTTCTAGTGAACAGCATCTGAAATCTAAATGTTCATATCATTAGATTTGATGTATTTGGTGCTATTTTTAATTCATGAGCCACTTTAAGGGAGATTATCTGCAGACCTGCAGCCCGGCACAGACACATTGTAAACCGTTTTTTCCTGGAGACTCTGAATAGCTCACAGGTGCTGTTTGGGCTGTATGGCAAAACTGCCTGAGAAAAACATGAATGTCAGACCTGAGGAAAGTGCTCCATTATTCAGGCTGAAATTGCATTGCTCACCTTGATGCCTTTCCCTCTGCAGTCCCAAGGTAGCTGCTGAGTTGTCGCTCCTGATGGCCTCTTAAATGCCTCACTGTCAGGCCCGGCGCCTTTAATGAACACCGCTGCGCCTGCTGCTGCCTTTCTACCGGTCACAGGTGTACGGCTTTTCAAGGCCGCCCCCCCAACCCCCTTTGTTTATTTATTGCTCATAGGCTGTGTATGCCCAACAGTCCCTTCGGTGTCCAGATGTCAACATGCAACAGGGGAGGAAGACACAAGATTTGATCTGGATACGATGCTATCTCCCTGGCGTTGCAGATGCTTTTTCTTTTCTTAAGATGGACATTGTTAACATCACCTTGCACTG